CATAAATGGCTTCTGCTCATTTCACTGAACAGTTGTCCACTTTCTTTCTTTCTCTTTATATCTATCCCTCCATCTTTCTTTCAATATCTATCCCTACTACAGAATCGGCTTCTGCACTAGACAGAGTCCAGTCTCTTTCTTTCTCCTTATTTCTCCAGAATATTCGCTGATGCTGCCCCACCTTCCAGGGACCCTCTAAATCTCTTTTGGGGGGCTGGCCCCCCATAAATCCCCCTTGCTCCTGATGTTATCTCAGTAATTTTCCGTCCAACGATGCTCTCTCCCTTCTCCTTGACTAGAAACTCCTACTTGCCCATGCTGTATTCAAGAGTTGAGCTCAACCTTTTTCACCCAATGCAAAAATCCCATTTCCATGGTTACTATACCTATCCTGATGGTCTTGAATAAAATCTGTCTTATTGTGCCTTTTCCAAAGATGCTGGAAGATTTACTGTGTTTAATTAGTATCAATAACTTTTTTCTTTAACAAAGGTGAGTTAGAATCTGTAACGCTGGGGCTCAGAGGTCAAGGCCCATTGTTGGGGAAAGAGTGAGAAAAGGCTTTCGGCTTTTTAAACAAAAATTACTAGAAAAGGGGGGGTAGAAGCCACAGTTAATCGCTAAGGTGCAATGTGTCTTAAAGCGTAATAATATTTCTAGGGCGCTTTACAGTTGTCAGAGGATTCCTGCCTGCACTATTCTCGCTCACTCTTCCCGGCAGCCCTGTGGTTTGTGGGCATTATTGTCCCCTATTGCAGAGGTGGGAAGGTGAAGCTTAGGGACTGTGCGACTCGTCCAGAGCCATGCAGCCAGGATGTGGCTGCACCTGGGCTTGAGAAGAGACAGAGTGACTGGGAGCCACAGGCTCAGCCTGTCACACCACAGGGCATCTCGGCACACACTGCCTGCCCACCCCTGGGTGAAGATCCTCACCTGTTCCTGTCATTTCTGGGGTCCAGTAGAGGCCTCGTGAGAGGGAGATATGTAGATGCTGTTAATGAAGATGAGGGGGAAGATAAACATCCACCCTTTAGCTTTTGGGCAGCTGGAACTTGATAGCAGGGCAGCTTGCCTGTCTTTAGAAATGAAAATGATTACAGTCATTTCTCAGCATGAGAAGGGGATTAATTCCAGGACCCCATAGATACCAAAATCCGTGGATGCTCAAGTCCCTTATATATGACCTATGCACATCCTCCTGTACTTTAAATAATCTCTAAA